CATGACCCAATAAGAAGTAAAAGCAGAAATCACTGGATCAGCCCTATGGTTCGCACATGAGGAGCCTGAGGTTTATAGCTGGGGACAGCCTTGCCCGAGGTTCTTAGAGTCAGCACTGCCATCAAGGATCCTCCAGCTCAGCTTTCATGCTGGTTTTCCTCGCCTCCCCGTGAAATTAGGAAATTTGTGCAGAGTCCTATATTTGACAGCAGTGTTAATCTCAGATCGTGAGCTGCAGCCTTCGGAGTAGATGCTATTTCTGCCTAGTTGTTTCTCGATGATTCAAAATAAGCCCTAGCAGTTAAGTATTGTCTCACCTTCCTCCCTGGTGAACCACCTCCAAATATTCCCTGCCCCTCTGTGATCAAGACTGGGCACCCGAAGAAATCACTCTAGGCAGTGGGAGGAGCAAGGCAAATGGATTCTACTCACTTGTCAAGGTGAATGTTTAAAAGATCAATTTCACAATAGGGATAAAAAGCTGATGATGCTCTTTTTGTGGTACTGGGGATTATACCCAGGGTCTTTACATTGAGCTACACCCCAAGCCTTTGGAAACTTTTTATTTTGAGACAGGGACTCACTAATTTGCTAAGTTGCCCAAGCTGGGCTTGAACTTGTGATCCTCCTGCCTCAGCCTCTCAGAGTGCAGGGATTATAGACATGTGCCGTCATGCTTGGGTTTTATTGTTTTATTGAGTAATTACTTTGTTCCAAAAGACCCGATCATGCTGTTCAGCTGTTAGGTTGGTGCTCCCTGAAGACAGAGATCATATTTCTTGGGCTTCCCATTGTCCTCAGTGCACAGCACAGGGCTTGACACATTGTAGGTGCTCAACAAATCAGGGACTGCCCCTCCCAGCCTATAGCTACTGAATGCAGCGGCCTGTGTGGGAAGTGAGAAGGAGCAGTGGGGCCCATGGAAAATGGAAAGCCCTTGTCACATATAGATGGCCCTTCCAGCCTGCAATGGCCATGCAGGAAGGGGAGCCTGACATTTCACTTCCTGCTGAGCAGTTGCAGGGAGGGGATGACAGAACTCATCACAAATGCAAGACTATACACATTTGGGATACACAACATGGATTCAGAAAAAAAAAGCCCTGGGCTGGGGATTTAGCTCAGTGGTTCTGCTGCCTGCCTTGCAAGAGCAAGGACCCGAGTTCGATCCCTCGTACTGGGAAAAGCAAACAAACGATCAAACAAACAAAAACAGAAAAAGAAGAGCCCTTTATGGAGTTTGGACATGGTCTTCGGCCTTGCTATCTGAAGTACGGTCCAAGGGCTAGCATCCTCTGAAAGCATATCAGAAATCCACCATCTCTAGCCCCATGCACGAGATTCTGCATTTTAAGATTTCTGTGTGATCTGGGAGGCTGAGGCAGGAGGACTTTAAGTTCAAGCCCAGTGCAGGCAACTCAGTGACCTAGCAAGACCCTATCTCAAAAAAAATTAAACAAGGGCTGGGTATTTAGTTAGTGCAAAGGCCCTGGGTTCAATCTCATTAAAAAAAAAATCAAGTAATCCACATGTATATTCTTTGAGAAACACTGGTCCATTTTGCCTGTGAACGACTGTGATATTTTGGTGCAATCCACAATGCTTCAAACAGAACCCTTTGATCTAGCGCGTGCGATAATATTAGGTTGGACTGTACGAAATTGTCTTCATTCCACTGCCTCACAACCTACAAAAATGGCAATTTCAAATGAAATTTCAATTCCAACTCAATCTATCACTTGTGCTGCACAAAAATGGTGCAGATCTGGGATACGACGTGCTTCAAAAAGGCTGTGGCCAGGGGCTAAAAATAACAAGCCTACAGGTGAGGTTAAGACTATTGAAAAAAGACCCCCCCCCCCCAAACTGGTCACCATAAGACTGGAGGTTTCACATAAGACATAAAGTTGTGGCTTTCTGGGACGGCAGATGCGTCCTGTCTAAGCCTGTGGGCACTAGCAAACAGCTGGACGGTGGTGCCCTGCTATCTGGGCAGGAGCTCCCTGTGCTCCCCTGGGCCGCTGTACATGTGTCTGAGGACAGGACTCCCGAGGGACAGGGAACCTCAAAGGGAAGGCCGCTTTGGAAGCTTTTCAATGAAGTGACAGACGTGCCTGGCTATGGGGGTCCTGCCACAGGTGCCCCGGTGGAAGCAGGGGTTTAATGCCCTCTGTGCCAGCTGGTGCCCCATGGCCGAGCTCTGTCCTGGCCTCCCCAGCCCAGGGTCAAATCTGCTGAGACCCATGGAATGTTTCTCCCAAGAGTCCTGGTAAGTTCCCGTCTGCTGCTGTCTCTGTCACCTTGGTGTGCACAACAAAACCCTTTCCATAAGGATGCCTTTCTCTCCACCCCACAGTGGAGACTGAACCCAGGACATCTGCACTGAGCTACATCCCTAGGATTTTTTTTTTTTTTTTGAGACAGGATCCTGCTATAAACTGCTAACTAACTTAGGCTGGGCTCAAACTTGCAATTCTCCTGCCTCAGCCTCCCAGAGTGCTGGGATTACAGGCATGCGCCACCACACTTGGCTGAGGCTTTTTCTTTTGATATGAAACCACTCTTAGAGTGCCGAGTTTCTGAACACAATCCAACCTCTGTCCTCCACTCAGAGGAAACACACAGTTCCGTGTCCCATGTTTTCCTTGGTCACCCACCGTGGGGGACCTGACCCGGCTTGGTCTTGACACCCTCTTGTGATGTGTACCTGCTGAATACTGAGGAGACTGTGCCCCAGCCCAGCTTGCTCAGCAGGATCTGCAAATTTCTCCTTGAACGGAACTGTAGAACAAAGAGAAAGGCGGCCCTTTGAATGACCTCTAAGGTGACATCACAGAGGGTGGGCGCAGGCTGACAGGAGACGTCCTGGTTACAATCGTAGGCATCGGGCTCACATCATAACTCTGCCATTTGCTGGCCGAGGCTCTGGACAAGGGTTTAGCATCTCTGTGCCCCTGATTCTTCACCTGGAAAATGGAGAATAATAGTATCTACTATGGCTAGAGGGTACTCAGAGCGGCCATGAGGAGCTCTGGTGAGGGTTACGTGAGCCAGTGTCACGTTTCTGAAGCTGGTCTTGCCTTTTTCCTGTCTTCGTGCCACACCTGCACCTCTGCATCTCGCCTGTGCCATTATGGAGTTAAAAGTCTTCCGTAAAAGTGACCCATTTTTAAACCTCATGTACCACAGCCCTATCCTTACGTCTATACACACAAATGTACGTACGAAGGTGCTCCTGACGACTTTCTGTTAGCTTTCGAAACAGATACTGAATGAGTGAGCTTTTACCATGGGCACCGCCTTGCTCTCATCACGCAAAAACACCAAACTCAGAGGGACGTTGTGCAAAATAACCAACCAGCAAGCTTCAGAAGTGTCAAGCCCACAAGAGACTCACTGTCATCCATCGGAGGGGACAGAGGAGAAACAAACAGTACGAGCAATGGGGGAACCTGGATAGGCTCCTGCAGCAGAAAAAGGACCATCGTGGGGAAAGGGTGCAGTTCAAGTGGGGTGTGCCATTGAATTAATATTATATACTTGTTGACTTCCTGTTCTGATCATTACACTAGGGTTATGTGTGGTATTAACACGAGGGAGCACTAGGTCAGGGTACAAAGAAATTTCTTATACCATTGCGCTACTTTTTTATAAATCTAAAATTACTTTCAAATAAAAGTTGGGGTTTTTTTGTTTGTTTGTCTTGTTTTGCTTTTGGTGGTTCTGGGGGAATGAACTCAGGGCCTCGCATATGCTAGGCAAGCACTCTCCCATGAGTTTCCTTCCCAGCCCTTTTTAATTTTATTTTGGAATAGGGTCTCACTAAGTCTCCCAGAGTGGTTTGAATTTGCAAGCTTCCTGCCTCTGCCTCCTAAGAGGTTGGCATTTCAGGTATGTGCCACCATTGCCAGCAGTAAATAAAAGATTTTGAAAAGCAGGTATTGGTTAAACAGCCCAGTTTTGGCAAGCATTCATCTGCTTTCTCCCTCTGCGGTTGACCTATTCTGGATATTTCCTATAAACAGAAGCCTACAGTAGGCTGGCGGCCTCCTGCCAGTCTTCTTTCTCTTGACAGGACCTCTTCAAGGTTCATTTGCATTGGAGTATGGATTAGTGCTTTATTCCTTTTTATGGCTGAATCATATTCCATTATATGGCTAGACCACATTTTGCCGGCCCATTCACCCAGGGATGGTCATTTGGGTAATTTCCTCCTTTCGGCTACTGTGAATAATGCTGCTATGAACATCTGTGTACAAGTTTTT